TTATTTTGAAAGATGAAGCTCGCGATTATGGTAAGGGGTGTTACATTTCCGACGAGTGCTTGCGGTGTTCGGCCAATCACAATGCACTGGGTCAGCTGGCCAATCAGAGCAGACTGCGCTTGTCAAAGGAAGGGGCTTTGTTGAAAACGACGTGTTTGAGAGAGGCGGGGCATAGAGGACCTACAATAATGTACAGTATTTGAAAAATAATGTGTTTTTTTAACATTAAAGCATGTCAACATATTCTGTTACACCAAATACACAAAATAATGATCTTTTAAAAAGCATCATATGACCCCTTTAAATAAATTTTTGTATGCAAAAAAAAATCTTTCTAATTTCTTCAACAGTTGTATGACAATGTGCCTTACAGCAAGCACCTCCCAATCGATCGCTATAACCCTCCCAACCAGATGGGGGCTCCACCATCAAGCAGGCCCTCAATGGGCTATCAGGCTCCACTCCAAAACCAGTACCACCCCGCCCCACCTTACACCTCTACACCTCAGCCAGACTATGTTTACTCCTCCGCTGCCTCTTCCATCCACAAACCTTACCCCCAACCAGTGCCTGCCTCCTACACCACCGCCTCCACCCCAACCGGCCCACGCTTCTCCGTACAGGTGAAAACAGCTCAGCCCGTCACCTATTCTCAGAGCGGACGGCAGGCAGAGCAAGCTTACACCCCTCCACCACCCCGCCAGCATGCCTCTTGCCCCCCTCAGCAAGAACGACCACATTATGAGCCACAGGGACAGGGCTGGTACCCACCGCCACCTCCTCCTGTACAAGAACCTCATGGAGATCCTGCTGCTTATAAGGGGGGATCAGGTAATATGCCAGGAGGGAGAGCCGGCCAGGGACAACCAGTGAAGAAGAGTCAAGATCAAGTGTCAGCATATCAATCTAACAAGGTAAGACTTATTATTTGGTGAGGATGATGCAGGTTTGTCAAGTTGTAGCAGAGACGGAAACTTTCTGTCATGAAAATGAACACAGAATTTCTATTGAGTGTTGTTTACAAAAAAAAACCCTGATAAAGATAAAAAAAAAAAAAAAAGCGAAAAAAAGTTTTTATATTTATGCTTTTATTTATTGTAGGTGAATAGTCCTTTATTTGCCAACTTGATAACAAATAAATAAAATAGTTTTGATTCAGGAAAATGTGCTGTTTCTTTTAGATATTGTGGCTTGATGATTATGGAAGTTCAAAATAATACATTTTAAGAAATATATAATATTAATTGTCCTTCAGTGCAATTAAATAAAATGTATTATAGTTTACATTTACATTAAATGCAATTAACAAAACTTTTTAGAGTGCTTAAGTAGGACAGAAGAATATAATTAATTTTATATGTAATTGCATGATTACTTTTTTGTTTTTGAAATATGGTTTAAGTGACAAGCATTTAAAATATACTGTAATGTAATTTCTGTTGAAATTTGTATGTAATTAAATATAGGCATTTAAAATATTTACTTTAAATGTAATATTGAATAACACACTACAGTTACAAGTATCTTACATGTACTTTTTAGTATGTTAGTCAACACATCAAAATAAATGTACCTTAAAGTGAAACATGTTTACACACAAGTTTACATTATTAGTCATTTTTTTTGTGTACTTAAGTGTCAAGAAACAGTCTTAATATATGCAAATACATTTTTTGATAATAGACTTTTAAGATTTGAAGAACACTATAAGTGTACATGCAACACGATTAACTGCACTTTGATTTCTCAAGGGTTGTGAACATGTCTGAGAGGTAATATGATTTTGTTTAACTCCACAAAAAGTATGAGACTGTATGAAGAATACATCTGTATAAAAAAGATACAATATGTACAAGTGATCAACAAAAAATGTTTTATATGTCCAGCATACTTAGCAATGTTTTTCCATGTTCTGCCAGCAGGGGGCAGCACCACATCCAGAGGAAGAGTTGGATCGACTCACCAAGAAGTTGGTGTATGATATGAATCATCCCCCTACTGAGGAATATTTTGGTATGCTCCAACATTTTACATCCTCAGTGTTGTACTTTTGCTTTTACATTATACATGTGTTTCAATAAGGGTCATGGATTTCTCTCTCTCCATCTTTCTCCCTCAGGTCGATGTGCTCGGTGTGGGGATAATGTTTTGGGAGACGGCAGTGGCTGTATTGCCATGGAGCAGGTGTTTCACGTGGAGTGTTTCACCTGTATCACCTGTCATGCGCGCCTGAGAGGCCAGCCCTTCTATGCACTAGACAGGAAGAGCTACTGCGAGAGCTGCTACATTGTGAGTTTATCTGTTTATCTGTCGACTTCTCTTGGTTTCTGCCTCTTATTTCGATATTTTTCTTTCTACATTCAGACTCTTAACGTTTGTTCTTCCCCTATGCTCCCAGAGCACACTTGAGTGCTGTTCGAAATGCTCTGAGCCCATCCTAGACCGGATCCTGAGGGCGATGGGAAAGGCTTACCACCCTCGCTGTTTCACATGTGTGGTTTGTGGCTGTTGCCTGGATGGAGTGCCTTTTACTGTGGATGCCACATCTCAGATCCACTGTATTGAGGACTTTCACAGGTACTCAACAACTTCCTTTTTTTCTGTTTCTGTGTGGTTTGAAGTCTGTTTCTGTTGATAAACAGAAAGCTCCACCAAATGTCTAAACAGTTACTACATGGAATTTATTATTAAAACCTTGTTTGCTGCTTCTGTGAACAGGAAGTTTGCCCCCCGCTGCTCTTTATGTGGCCAGCCCATAATGCCAGAGCCTGGGCAGGAAGAGACGGTGAGGATCGTTGCACTGGATCGCAGTTTCCATGTTAAATGCTACGTCTGTGAGGTAAGAATTTTCTGACTTCCACTTCATGTTTAATCATTTATGTAATGCAATCTCACATATTTGAGAATGGTTTATTTTAAACATGCATGTAAAATTACAGCTGCATTTAAAGGGTTAGTTCACCCAAAAATGAAAATTAGTCTGTGTTTTACTCACCCTCAAAGCATCCTAGGTGTATATGGCTTTCTTCTTTCAGACGAATCATATCAGAGTTATATTAAAATTTGTCCTGGCCCCTCCAAGCTCTATCATTGCAGTCAGCGGGTATTTCTGTTCAACTGTCCACAAGTCGTTAAATAAAGTGCGCGCATCCATAATAAAATGTGCCTCACACGGCTCCGGGGGGTGAATAAAGGCCTCCTGTAGCGAATCCATGCGTTTTCATAAGAAAAATATCCTTATTTCAAATGTAATAAACGCTTTTCTCTCACTTCCGGTATCTGTCATACGCGGAAGGCGTTCCGGCTAATTTGAATTTTTTGGTGAAATAACCCCCTTTAAGGGTCTGCAATACTGCCAGAAAAGCTGATATTATTATAATTAGGTTAATAAAAAATAAAAAAAACTTATTAAATCTATGCCCCACCCTTATGTCAAATTCTTACAGTTAATCAATGAAGGAAAAACACTACAGGTGAATATGGTAATTATAGATAATATTACCGTACCAGTTTTCTAAAAATGTAATGTTTAAATATGAGGCATTGACTTATTAAATATGCACTAATTTGCATAAACGTCCAGAATAGAAATCTGAACATTGGATAGAACCAGGTTTAAAATTCGTGTTTTTTTTTTTTTGACAAAGGAGATTTTGAAGAATCTTATTTTATCACTCCATAAATCAGTAAAAAAAAACTGTCAACAGCTAGAAAAATATACATTTTTGCAATGTTTTTAGGCATAAAATCTAGCATGCAAATTATATATTAATCTCGCATAGGTCTGGAATCCATGGCAGCTTTCATTGGCCAAGGCCCGCCCATGAGGCCGTTTGACCGACATGTCAAACAACCAATGACAGTTCGTTTCGTTCAGCGTCACGTTTCGGGGCGTGGAAATGTTGCCACAATAACAGACCTGTGTGTAAAACTCTCCAACTTATTTTAAAGATTCTATGCCGCAAACTTTAAATATTTCACATACTTTTGAATATCCAACGTTTAGTTGATCCTGATAAGCGCTCGTCGTCACAGTTGTAAACACGATGGCTTTTTTCTGTCGTGAGGGGGTTTGGCGTCACGGCATCTTTGTTTCCAGGCGGAACGTAAAGAACGTTAAACACGCCCCCCGGAAATCCTGTATAATTCAACCAATCCGATGACGACTTCGAAACTCCTGAAGTGTCTCCACTTTTGTGTGCCATATGCATCAGACATTCAGCCAGCGGTCTGTAAAAAAAAATTATTTGAGAAAAGATATGTATTGCAATCGAAATCTACAGACGCAAATAGATAAAGTGTAAGTTTTCTTTCCACCATTCTGAAAGAATTCAAGTTATGGAAGCAAAATAGTCTAAAATAATTTAATTTACCAGTGCCTGGTCAATTAAAAACAATGGTTTTACTTTTGTCTGTATTGTATTGCCTTAATTAAAGCATCAACGAAGAGTTGACAAAAAAGCTGCATCTTATTTAGATGTACTGTATTGACCCGAATATAAGACGATGTTTTTTTCTTGGAAATACATCTGAAAAAACGCGGTCGTTGTATATTTTTTAAATGTGATTGTTGGTACATTTTACCAGTTTTTACCATACTTTCAAAACAAAAATTAAAATAGGAAAAATATGCAATATGAAAATAATTGAAGACAAAATGTGTTTTACTGAGAAAAAAACAAGATTTGGTTTTTAAAAAGCCTTTTTCCAAAAGGTACATCTGGGAAAAGGGGGGTCGTCTTATAATCAGGGTCGTCTTATATTTGGGCCAATACGGTATTTGCACAATGTTAAATGCAGCTCAGAGGTGACATGAATGCATTTACACTGCATTTGTAATTGAATAATACTATGAGATTTACATTTTAAAATTACATTTTGAATATTGAATATGAAATAAGGTAAATGGAAAATAATAAGTGAAATGGTCTAAATGAGTGCTAAAGAAAAACGGTTTGTGTTGCAGGATTGTGGTCTACTCCTCTCTTCAGAGGGCGAGGGAAGAGGCTGCTATCCCCTAGACGGACACATTCTCTGCAAGAGCTGCAGTGCCCGTCGCATCCAAGATCTTTCTGCCAAAATCTCCACTGACTGCTAATGCCCCCATCCCATCACTCTGTGTCCCTTCTCTTCTTCATAGTTATTCTTCAGAATGTACCACTATCTAAACATCCACCGCCTGGCATTACTTCCATCCTTGACTTTGCATGTCGTTCGCACAAATAATACGAAGACGTCCCTCTCAGGGTAGCATAGAGCCGAGGAGAAAAAAAATAGTTCTAGTGTTTAGAGTAGTTCCACTGGAAAGCTGTTTCCTCAAGAATATAGAAAAACAGGTGGTGAATGAAATATGATGGTGTTTGTGTATAATCCTCAGCGTATGTGTGTTTATGCGAAATGTGAGCCTCGTGAACAGGGTGCATTTCTACCTTGAAGCAGTCACTTTTACAACACTAAAATATTAACCTTTAATGGAAATATAGTAACATGTCACAGTTTCCTCAAATAATGCCCCAATTCTGCTGGCAGTTGGGGTCACTTCATATTGTCCCCATTCAGATCATCTCTTTTCTTTTATCCTCTCAAAAACAAAAACCTGATGTCAGTGGATATCCAGTGCTCATTATTTTAATACTTGAAATCATGATTGTTGAAGGATGTTATTACTGTATTTCGTTTACTGACTCGATATTCGTTTAATATCATTACATTCGTCATGATACTAATGATAATTCTGGTAAAAAGGTTGGAAAAGTTTAACACAGGCAGCTGTTTTGTTCTGTTTTCCGTGCAGTCTTTAGCTCTAGGTTTACGCTGATTTCAGAAACTGTTACAAGAGAAGTGTTGTCAGATAGGAATAAAGGCTCAGTTTGTTTAATGACCGCTTCAATGAAGGAAATCTTTTGACAGGTGTGTGTTGGATCAAAGTGGTTGATTTCATTTTAAAGCTGAGCAGCTGCAGTTTTTTGCTACATTCAGCGGTTTGGGTTTGGCAGCAGGGTGGATTATTTTCAAGGAGTTTGAATAGTGAAAGAAATAGAGAGCAGTTAAGGAACGGAATCTAGTAGGTTAGATGAATTACAAATCGTGGCTTCTTATTAGAAATAGAACATTTCTCATCACATCAAGAAACTTAGTCGCGATTTTGTCACTAAATATACATCGATTAATGTCTAACACAGTAAATGGTCAAGTATGAAGGTTACAAGGAGGTAAAGTACGTACTAGAGAAATGACTTTCAGATTGTTACACATCTGACACTTGTGCAGAGATTGTTACTGGTTGGCTTTATTCTATTACATCATATTTTCTGTATTTGTTTTATTTTATGTCAAAATGCATTTTTAATTGTCTGTTATTTGAATGATGTGTAGCAGCAAGCATCCATTGCTTAATGCCATTATATAAAAAGGTGTTGATTGTTTGAAGCAACATAATTAAGTGCTAGTTTTTGCGCTGACAAATGGTTACAATTATCTAGAAACTAAAAGCATAAAGTGGTTCAGATGGTTGCATGCTTTATTTATTGATTTGCCTGGAATATTTTGTAAGATTATTCCAGCATAGTGTCCATCTGGTCAATTTGCTGCCAAAAAACTTTTTCTAAACCTGTCATTGCAGATGATTGCTAATTGATAAAGTGCCCTGGTACTGCACAGTCTGTTTCAATGGCTGATTTACTTTTTAAGCTGCCAGTTTATTTCGGCACGTTTGGAGGAGTTTGCATTTTATTTTCCTGATGTTGAGTTTAGGGGGAGAAAAAGATCAGCTTTATAAATCCAGCTGTTTTTACTGCAAATGTCTATTGACATCTAGTTTGTACTGACCGTTGTTCCAATTTATGATTTGATGAATGTGAAAGAAAACAAAAACTGACAAAAAAGTTTTTAGTGTGTTCTTGCTGTTTATCTTACATCCCATAGAGCCAATCACACATAAACACACTTTGCCTGATCACACTTTATTACAGAGGACTAGCAATCCAATGACACTGTTGCAAGGTCAACACAAAAACCTCTATATCAAGATTTTAAATGTTAATCATATAATCTCTGGCCATCAATCCTGATAGTACCCATAATACAAACATTTTATAGCATACACTGCATAAAAGTCAGAGTTAATCTCTCTTTATACTGGAATAGTATTACTGTGTGTGCTGGTGATTTTTAAGGAACAATCTTGGTTAATGCAGGTGGTATAAGAAAGAGAAGAAGCTGAAGAACGTATAGATTATTACAATCCATGCTATATGCACAGGACCAGAAATCCTCTAATCAAGTTATTTTGATGGCTACACAAGTATAACAGTGTTTGTAAGGGTCTTGCAGGTTGACTAACAAGAGGTGAAGGTCTTCCAGTAGAAATTCCTGCAGCCTGCTTTGCGTTCTCGTTGAGAGAAAAGAAGATGATTCAGAAACCTTTAGTTGTCAAAAAGAAAACATTCTAATTTGAACTTGCTGTAGTTTTTAGATATGCATATTATTATTTTCTCCATATCCACACAGATATTACCTTCAAAACTGTGCACTGTAAAATGATTTTTTAAAAAGTTGTAAATAAAGGTTATTTGTTATACTATTTCAGTCTTTCTACTTAAGAATTTTATGTTTAATTCAATTTGCTACTTGCTGTTTCTTTGTAATTATTATTTAATAGCAAATTCTGAGTGAAAATAGTTTCAAAGCCTTTTTGAAAGGATTTTAAAATTTTCACTCCAAAATTGCCAGTAAATTCTAAAAAATTTGACATGAAGGTTTCATTAGACTTCATTAGACACTTCACTACGTGAAGAATACTTCTAAAGTATTTATTGATCTTAATCTTATTTTCAATATCCAAGTTGCATCTGTTAAAATGATTTAGTGGAATTGAGCTAACAGTTGAAATTTACAGCAACACTTTACAACAAATTCCTTTCATTATCTAACATTAAAAATTAGCAATACATTTGTTACAGTATTTATTAATCTTAATGTTAGTTCATTTTAATTTTACTGTAAAGTTTTTCCAAATTTACTAGCCATTTCTTAGAAAATTGTTGCAAAATCCAAAAAAAAAAGCTTTGAAACAATTTTCACTCAAAAAGAAACCGCAAGTAACACCGAAATATACAAGAACTTTTGAGGTAGAAAAACTAAAATAGTAATTTCTTGTAAAACATACTCCAATAACCTTTTTTACAGTGTACATTCATTTTTTCATTGCACACTGAAAAATTATGTAGAAACACACTCAAAGTGAAAATTGCTAGTAACTTTCACAAATAACTACAAAGAAATGGCAAGTAACACATTGAATCAAATACGGAATTTTGAAGTTAAAAAAAAATTCTGTAGAAAAGTTTGTCTTACCTCATTCTCCTTGGGATCCACTTCTGATAGGAGCAGCTGGAGCTGCAGGTCTTCTCTTGGTGCCGAACTGACGCTGCAAAGCAGCAGAGACATGGACAGAGTCCCCACAAACACCTGTAACGGAGAGAACATCCTTTCAACACTGTAAAACACTGCCTTTTAGAGGGTTTAAGGATTATAGGCTTTTATAGGCACCAAAGGTGGGATCCTGGGGTCGATTAGAGAGCACTTATTGGTCAAAACATAACCACGAAGGACAGTGGAGGTGGTGGTGTTGGTGTGTGGGTGTAGAGGAGCAGGGGTGAAGTGTGAAGAGACGTTTGTGCGTGAGGAGGGACTCCCAGACCCAGTAGGAAAGATGTTTGATAAGGTCACACCGAGGTGTTACTTTTGCATCAGAAGCCTTATCAGTTCTGTCATTTGCAATAATATACCATGGAAAAATGCATTATCTGGAACTTAAATATACTCCTGTTTGACAGGTGAAATGTTATTAACTTCAGTGGCGAGGTACTAATGAACTGCTAGGATGTTAATTATTACAGGGTGATGGTGCTATTATGCTCTGGTAAGGCGTGTGGTGTCACTTGTGATTTGGAGAGCCGTGCATTTCTGTGTCTTGTTCTCACTATGACGTCCTCGTTAGACTGTGGAATTAATGATGTGAAGCGACTCAAATGTTAATTGGTCTGCTTAGTCATTATTTCACACCATCCTTCATCTCTGGTGATTTGCTTGACTGCATTGCATATACAGAGAGATCCTGTCTAGCCGATCAAAGTTGATACTCGTGTGTGGCTGATATCGGACATGTTCGCAGCTGGGTGACATTATAGTCTAAATCACACCCCTTATTGAACCCACATGAACTAAGACTTTGAGATCTCAGAGGGCAATTACTCAGACAATCTATCTATCCATCTATCTATCTATCTATCTATCTATCTATCTATCTATCTATCTATCTATCTTATTGTTTGTGCTTTATTTTTAATAACATTTTTGATATATTCTGACCTGCAATTTGAGGTAGGCCTACATTATATATTCTATAGCCTATATGGAAGGTGCAGACAACTCTTTTTTATATATAAATAAATATATAAATATGAAATAAAAATTTGTGTAATTTGTAAATTATTATCAAATCTTATTTGATGTGGGGAAAAATGAAGAGACACTGTGTGCGTGGATTAGCATTTCATATAGAAGAATGTCACTAAATGGCAGACTCACAATGGTTTGATTTAACTTGATATATTAATATATTGCACTTTTATAGATTTAGTTTTCACAGATTTCTTTTATTCTCTCAAAGCAGAAAGATGTTGTAAGACTTGATTTCAGGCCTTTCTGAACATTCTATGAACACACCCATACAAATATACCCTAAACATAGGCGCCCACATGGATGTGCTTCTCACTTCTCTTCTTTGCATGCTGTTGATGCTCAACTGGGTCAAACTCTCTCATTTAGTAGCACATTCAACGAAGAAACAAAAATCCTCTTTTGACCTATCATGACTTTTATTTTGAAGGGACTGTAAAGTAGCGCTGTTATCAGTCTGCGCATGCGCTCCTCTCAAAGCAGGAAGTAACTGCTCCAAACTGTCAATAGTCCAACACAGTACCAGTCACCGCACTTGATTCTGTCCCCTTATTTACATTAATGTAAATTTAAACATATTTATGTGACAGTGATGTCTCGAAAGGCCAAAACAGAGGAATATTACCGCTTCTTCACTGTGACAGATCCACGCACACACGAGAAAGGACACACGGAATATAAAGTAACAGCAAGGGTTAGTAGCACAATAATATAACGTTATTGTATCATCATATTTACGTTTCATCTCCTTATCACAGAGAGGAATAATACTGTAGATACTGTATAGGTATTGATTGAATGGACTATTGTGTCAATTCCCGGTATCTAATTTATTAATATTCCAATAAATAACCAAGATGATTTACGTGTAAACTGCTTTGCACACTTTGATAAAATGTGCTTCATAAATACAAAAGGCATAAATCAGATTAACTGATCCTCGTAGAGGTTGGTTAATAACTACTAGTACAAGGCATTGTTTATCTGGTTTGCAGTTAGGAATCTGGGACGAGGTCACCTGACTTCAGTGTCTCATGCACCAGTCTCCCTGTTCCTCATTAATGCTTCCAATCAGCCCTTTCAAATCCTCTCCCTTTGGTGTTGTGTGGTTTAATTGATCTGTATCTTTCTCTGTAGTTTGTATCAAAGACACAGCCGGAGAATGTTAAAGAGGTATGAGCATCCTTTTGTATTTGTACATGTGCATGTTGGATCAGAGTTGCATTGGGCTCATTGTTGGTTTGATTGGCAGGTTGTGGTGTGGAAGAGGTACTCAGAGCTGAAGAAATTACATGGAGAGCTGGCGTACACTCATAGGAACCTGTTCAGACGACTAGAAGAGTTTCCCTCTTTTCCACGAGCACAGGTTTTCGGTAAGGTCAATGGAATTGCTAGACATGATGTGTAAACAAAAGAGAAATTACCCAGTTCACCTGTTTGTTTCTTTGTTTTATTTCACTTTTTATGACTTGATGCTGTATGTCTGTTTGTTTATATTTCTCTAATATCATCCACCGCACTCTCTATTCTCTGTCCTGCCTTCCTGTCTCTCTCACAGGGCGTTTTGATGAGGCTGTGATTGAAGAGAGGAGGAACGCAGCGGAGGCCATGCTGCTCTTCACTACAAATATTCCTGCTCTGTACAACAGCCCTCAACTCAAAGACTTCTTCAGGGTAAGACATAAGACCAATAAGAGACCAGACCAATCTTCTGGAAAATATATTTATACTGTATCATGTATTCTATTTTACTTTTTCCTATCAAATCTGTACACTACCATTTAAAAGTTTGGGATCCGTATGATTCTATTTTTTCTTAAAATAAATAAATATTTTCATTCAGGAAGGATGCTGTAATTTATTTAAAGTGACAGTAAAGACTTTTACAGTGTTACAGAAATTTCTATATTAGTTCTGTATTATATATAAAATATTGTATCATATATTATATGATATATAATGGTATACATGTATATAAGTTGTCCATATTCGACCTGTGTCCTATAGTCTTCTGATTTTGTGTCTTGTTGTTGGCTTCTCATTGTCCATTGTCATACCGGTTTGGAACAACATGAGGGTGAATAAATGACTGAATGTTTATTTTCTGCTCATCTTTTTGGTTTTATTTCTCTTGTCTTAGGGAGCAGAAGTGAAAAGACCAATGGAGACAGCTGCCATTTCTACGTCTCTTCCGCCTCCTCTTATTCCCCTGCCTGAGAGAAACACTGAGCTGCTGGCTGAAGAGGAGACGGGGAGAGAGGCTCCTATCCACGCTCAGGAGCTGGAGTCCAACCACAGACTGACAGATCTAACCCAACCTGAGTTGGCAGTTGAGGCTCTCAGTGACACGGAAAGCAGCCCCACACAAGAAACACACACCGAAACGGAAATACAAGGACTGACAGAAAAAGAGAGAGAGACTGACATCACAACACATCAGAATAACGGCACAGACCAATGCTCTGCTGCTGCTACCGACACTACAACCCGTTAGTTTGTTACAGTTATCAATCCTGTAATGTCTTATTTGATTTCCATCATAGCTGATTGTTCTATTCCTGTTTTTCATCTTCCAGATGCCTCGCTTGAAATTCCGGGTTCTCCAGTCGACCAATCAGAGGAGTTTGATTCACTGTTTGACTCGGGATTGGACGAACATTCATACAAAGCCCCGCCTCTCCTTTCAGAAACAGACCTCGCTATTTTTGACCCATGTGCCAAAGAAGGTAAAGAAGCCTAAAATAAAGTCAAATGAGTCAGTTTAACTCATCATTTCTACATATAATTGGTTTTCTGATTTTCTTATCACCCAATCTTTCAGATCAACTGTATGGATCACCCAGCCACGCTGAACTCCTGTCCGTTCCTCTAACCGTTCCAGATGGGACTGAGTCTGCTGGAGATGTGAGCTACGTGTACCAGGCCAATGAAGAGATGAAGGCCGCCCAGGAAAAAGAGAGGAACGGCGAATACAGTGCAGCAGTACAACGATATAGGACGGCTGTTGATATATTTATGAAAGGAGTG